CCCCCCCCCCCTTTGTATTTACATGTAGAGTAAATACAAAGCAGATTAACAATGATTAAATATTATAAAAAATAGACAACTAAAAATATAAATAAAATATTCTTTACCACATCAAAACTCTGAATGATACAAGAAACGTGTGTGTGTGTGTGTGTGTATATATATATATATATATATGTATATATGTATGTATGTATGTATGTATATGTATATCTTTCATATGCATAAGTAATAGAAACAAACTAATCATTACAGTCATTACATTAATTATTCATGAATGTTTACAAGATGAATACAAAGATGTCTTTTTTATTCATTAATTATTGAGAACATAATACAAAACATATACCTAGAATAGTTAACAACTATTGAATAAAATAAAATAGTCCTGATAGTCTGTCCTGAGGTATGAATTGTGAGGCCACGCCCACATCCTAGTGTGGCCTCCGCTGATTGGTCAGCGACGCACTGAAAGCAGGAACTGAGGGTCGTGGGATTTTGAGAGAAACAGTCAGCTGCTGTCATGTACGTGGTTTTTAATGACAGGTGATGAAGAAACATGGATCAGCTTGTCAGGGCTCTGTTACTGCTCTTCTTAGTGCAGTTACCGGCTTCATTTGATGCGCCCAGTGGAGATGGTGGAGGATGGTGAGAGAAATACCATATGGATCACTGGCCGTGTCTCAAAACCAAGCGGCTCACTTTGTTTTGAAACACAGACACTGTGATTCATCTCAAATCCTGACAGCATGCAGTTGATCACCTAATTGAATAAATAAAGCTGTGTGAGCGAGATAAATTATGTTTTGTCTTTCAGGGGACTGGGTTCCAGTATTGAAGATGAAGGCGAGTGCAACATTGAGATCAGAGATGTGAACTCAATAACACACACACAGTTTATTAAAGAGTAAGAACAACAAACATACACATGTAGAGTTAGTTGATAGACATTTTAGTCACGTAAAACATGAATTTCATTGCATTTTTTTTTATCCTGAAAGCAACTCTTATTAAAAAGCTACTTTTAATAATAGCAATAATATAAATGGCATCACACATTATAGCATACGTAGATGAATATTTATGTAATCGTAATGTATTTTTCATTGTATTTTACAGGTATGCTTATGCAAAACCAGTTATACTCCGAGGACTCACAGATAACACAGTAAGAGCTGTGGTTATACTGTATATCAGGTGTTTATTGCCGCAAGTTCTTATTGATTCCATTTCTAACAGTGCCGTGTTGTGATTGGTTGTTTCAGAAGTTCCGTTTCCTGTGTTCCAAATCCAATCTGTTGAGAGAGTATGGAGGGAAAACGGTCCGTCTCAGCACAGCCAATACACACTCATACAGGAAAGGTGGATGCATGTGCACACTTTGACATATTTGCGCAGTCTTTTCATGTGCATGGTCAATAAAATCATACTGACCCCAGACCTTTCGACGTTAGTGTAAGTGTTCATGTTTCTCTATTGCTCTGTCTTTTAACAGTGGATGTGCAGTTTGAAGAGTTTGTGAAGTTCCTGTTGACCCCTCAGCCTGAAGACACACTGGGCAGTGGTCAGCTCTCTCTCTCTCTCTCACACACACACACACACACACACACATGTCTGGTCAGCTATCCTTGTGGGGACTCTCCATAGGCGTAATGGTTTTTCTACTGTACAGACTGTATATTCTATTGCCCTACACCAACCCTACCCCTAAACCTACCCCTCACAGGAAACTTTCTGCATTTTTAGATTTAAAAAAAACTTAATTCTGTATGATTTATAAGCTTTTGTACCCGTGGGGACCACAATTTAGGTCCCCACCGTGACACGAGTCCCCATGAGTCTGTGTGTATTCAGGTTTAAGTCCCCACCAGGATATATAAACCTGTACACACGCGCGCACACACACACCAAATCAGCTCATTCTACAAGCTTTCCCCACTGTACATGATTATTTCATAATGTGTGCGCATTTTTATTTCAGATACGCTGTACTTCTTTGGGGACAATAACTTCACGGAGTGGCATTCTCTGTTTGAGGAGTATAAAGCGCCACCTTTTTCTCTTCCACTCATGCTTCCTGCATATAGCTTTGGGATTGCTGGTATGTACAAATACATACTCTCCTATCCAGCTACAGACCTGCCAACCTGTACGCATTTTGCGTAGCGGATACGCATTTTGACCTCAAAGTACGCTGGTACGATTTGTCACTCTAAACTACGCAAAAAACCTGGTGACGCCTCTGTTCACGTGCAGTATTCAAAACAAGCAACAGAAAAAGATGAAGAGTTCAACCAATCAGAGCGTTTTTTAGGTTTTGCCTTTAAATTCCCGTGCATTTTATTTCTCTCCAAGCTGGCTCTATTTGTGTGTCCGTGAGTCTGCGTGCCGAGATGAGAAAACTCCTGCATCTGAAAAAGCAACACACGCCGAGCATCTTCCCTTGTAATGACTAAACCTTTTGTCCAACAACAAAAAAGAACATTATAACATTATTTTACTGCACAACATCAGACAAATATTTAAAATAATTTTCCTCTTGATCTGATGTGGCTTCTTATCACAGAATGACGCAGAAATAAATTCTACACTGGAATAACGGCGATTAGCAGTGGATTATAGATTATAAATATAACGTTACTTAATTATTAAAATGCTCGAGGTGGTTTTAAGAACACAGTCAGTTTAAGAAATACGACATTGTCGCAGTACAGTGTTTATTATCTTAATGTTCTTTTTGAATGTCATCATTCAAAGCGTTTCTGTCTTCTTTCATTCAGTTACAGCGATAGCTGGCTGTTTTTGTCCATATTAGGGATTTCCTGGAGCGTCCTGAG